GCGCAACAGCCTCCTGTGCGACAACGGGCGGTGCCGGAACAGCCCCGGCAGCTACAGCTGCTCCTGCCCCCAGGGCTTCAGCTTCCGGCAGGACACGGAGACCTGTGAAGGTACAGCCTCCGGGCACGCTGACGCACACGCGCTCGAACACTTACGCATGCTGCGTGCGCCGTGTACACACGCACACACACTGTCAGACGCTCGTGCATGCTGTGTGTGCACACGGACATGCCCAGGCACGTGCTGCATGTGCTGTGTGCACGCACACACTCTCAGACACTTCTGCATGCTGCGTGTGCGTACATGCACGCACTCGGGCACACACGCTGCATGGCACACGCACACACTTACACATTGCATGTGGCGTGTACACACAGGCGTACATGCTCAGGCACTTGCACGTGCTGCGTGCGGTGCGTGCACACAGACATGCTGAAAGACGCATGTATGCTCGTTACACACACATTAGCACTCACATAACTCGAAGACCAGTATATTCACGACTCGGTCTCACACAGTTATACACACTCATGGGTGCGTGCCCTCAAACACATGCGTACCCCCATGCACACACTCCTCACGTTTTACACACTTGAACTCAGCCACACACAGTCACACCCTGAGAGGCACACACTTGTGCGTGCAGTCACTCAGTTACGCAGACTGGTGGTACTCACTCAGGACACACACACCCGTGTTCACACTCACAGACGTGCCCATGTAGCTACACACACTCAGGTGCACGCTCTCAGATGCATGTGCCCACATCCTTATGCTTTCACACACTTAGATGTGTGTTCACACGCACGCTCTTGTGCACGCACACACATGCTCACACGCGTGTTCAAGCATGCGCACACTTCGTATCGATGTCCTTATTCCCCAGCAGTCGTGTGGCCGTGCCCCCTCTGCATGACCCCACCTCTCCCTGGGCCTTCTGTCTTCTCTCCCTCCCCCCAGCAGCCCTGCTCGCCCTACTCCGGAGCGACTTCTGTCCCCCACCCTGTCCCATCAGCTGCCTGCTACCCGCTCCCCAGCCACATCCAGGCCTCTCCTCCCTGGGCTTTCCTCCTGCCCCTCAGTCGCGTCCTCTCTTGTGCAGTGACTCCCTTGAGGGCCACTGTTCCCATTGTGTCTGTCCCTCCACGGTGACATGTGCGTGCCCCTGGGACCCTGCGTGTCACCGTGCTTGTCGGAGCGCACAGCACAATTCGGTGCAAGCACTTGGGCGTGCGTGCCTGTGCGTTTCTGTTCCTGTGCACCCTGCCTGTGTGCGTGTGCCTCCTCCAAGTACATGTGTGGCCACGCGTGTACCTGGGTGCATCCTATGTCACTGGACCCTGGCAGCCCCTGGGGAGACGGGGGTCCTGGTCAGCCGGGGCTTCCCCTCCCAGAGCTCAGGACCTGGTGGGGGACTGTCCTTGCAGACATCAATGAGTGCCTGTCCAACCCGTGTGTAAATGGCCTGTGCCGGAACCTGGCCGGTTCCTATGCCTGTGAATGCGCCCCCGGCAGCCGGCTGGGGCCGTCCGGCACCGTGTGTCTAGGTGAGAGGCCCTGAGTCCCGTGGAGCAGCCGCGACCCTGCTGCCTGGCCCCGCATCCCACCCTGGGGAAGGCCGGGCTTCTGTGGGTCGGTGTGCAGGTGTGACATGGGTGGCCGCCTCTCCCGCAGACAGCACCAGGGGCACCTGCTGGCTCCAGGTCCAGGACGGCCGCTGTGAAGCGAACCTGCACGGAGCCTCCCTGCGGTCCCAGTGCTGCGCCACCCTGGGGGCTGCCTGGGGGAGCCCGTGCGAACGCTGCGAGCCCGGTAATGCCCTGGGAGCCCCCCGGGGGGGGGCTCTTGGGGTCCTCCCGGGCGTGGCCACTGTGGTCACCCGGGTGCCCGTTGAGAGAACGGGGGTCTGGATAGAGAAAGTGACTCCTGTGCCCACTCTGGTTCTCCCAACCACAGACCCCGCCTGCGCCCGCGGCTTTGCCCGCATGACGGGGCTCACCTGCGAAGGTAACTCCTTGCTCCTCTGTGGTTCACCCCTCCCCGCGAGCTGCACACGGGCCGGTGCCTGTCGTGGGGGATGCCTGGGGTCCTGAAGTCTTTTGAGATCAAGGTAGAGATTGCCCTTCCTTGGGGTCTTCCCCGAGATTCCCCAGCCCCCAAAGCTGGTACTGTCCCCTTTCCGCCTCCCCGAGGACAGCCTGGGTGTCCTGAACCCCCAGCGGGGGAGCTCCAGCCCTTGCCTCTCCCCCTTTTCCACCCCTGCCCAGATGTGAATGAGTGCGAAGTCTTCCCCGGGGTCTGTCCCAATGGGCGCTGCCTCAACACTGCCGGCTCCTTCCGCTGTGAGTGCCCCAGCGGCCTGACTCTGGACACCACCGGCCGCCTCTGCGTGGGTGAGTCCACGTGGGACTGTGCGGGGCTGCCTGCCCTCCCTCCGTGGCCCCCACGCCGGGGCCTGGAGACCCCTCCTAGGGACAGAAGGGACTGGGGAGGGGGTCCTCTGGGACCCTCTGCTCCCTGCTCATCTCTCGTTGACGTGTCTTGAAAGACATTTGTTTGGGGGTTTCACCCTTTCACTTACCTGCCCTTTAACAAGGCTCCTTGCTAATGGTAAGCTCTCGTAAAATACCATCTGCAACTTTTATTTATTCTTTCTTGTTACCAAAAAGGTTTACACGGGGCGGGGGGGCACCTCTAGCATGCCCAGGTATCTCCCTCAGCATCCAGGGCTCAAACACTCACTCTGAATGGTTCCCCGTCAGGCTCAGAGATCTGAGACGTTTTCCCCCGGGGTGAGGGTTTCTCAATGTTGCCACTGTCCACATCTTTAAATAAAAAAAAAAAATTTTTTTAAGCGTATTTATTTTTGAGAGAGAGACGGCATGAGCAGGGGAGGGGCAGAGAGAGATAGACAGAGGGAGAGAGAGAATCCCAAGTGGGCTCCTTGCTGTCAGCACAGAGCCTGATACGGGGCCTGAACTCACGAAACCGTGAGATCATGACCCGAGCCAAAACCAGGAGTCACACGCTTAATCAGCTGAGCCCCCCAGGCGCCCGCCACTCTCCACATCTTGAAGCGGACATTTCTTGGCCAAAAGCATGCCAAGCAAACAGGGCTGTGCCCGGTTTCTCCCCACAGTTGGCTAATAGCCTCCTCGTAGGTGCCTTCTCAACTTTGCTTGGCTTCTGAACCGAGTTTTAGGTGGGTCCTCCCACTGGCCCCCAAATCGAACCAAGGAAAGAAAGGAATCGAGGAAAGAGGAAAAAGGCATTGCATTACAGGACCCGTGTGCTGAATTCGGGGCCGGGTGAACAGGGAGGTGCTGACTCCGGCCCGGTCTGCTCAGACATGACCATTAGCCCCGGGCCAGGGCACCCGTCCCTGTGTGCGTCACAGGGTTCCCAGAGGTTCTCGAGGTTCTAAAACAAGGTCTCGTCTTCAAACTGACCTGCCCGATCATGCATTCCTTCGGGAAACAGAAGTTTTCCTGGACCAGGGGTTCAGCAAATGTTTTCTGCAAAGGGCCAGGGGTAAATATTTTTGGCTTTGTGGACCACACAGTCCCTGTTGAAGCTACGGAGGTCTGTCGCAAAAGCAAAAGCAGCCACAGGCAATTTGGAAACAAAGGGATGTGGCTGCGTGTCAATAAAACTTTATTTACAAAAATAGGCGGCCGACCCCAGGCTTGCAGTTGGGCTCTCTTGGACTCTTGTCTCTGGTCTTGATGGAGGCTTATCTGGCATCGGATTGTTCTGAGGGCATCTTGCAGATCAGACACACACTCTGGAGCCAGATGGCCTGGGGTGAACGTGGTTCTGCCTTTCACCGTGTGGCCGCGGACAAGCTACCTAACCCTTCTGTGCCTCGATTTTCTTGCCTGTAAAATGAACATGATGCTAATATTTTCATCTTGATGTCTATTTTGAGGATTGCATGGGTTGGGGAGCTTAGAACAGTGCCCTGCCCATAGCAAGCACCTTAACACAGCAAGGTATTGCCACTAAAATGTTGCACGACGTTGTTACTGAAGTGTTACCGCTGGGTGATGTAGAATGTCGATAATGGCACTCCCCTTGCGCCCTTCCTGTTGGGGAGGGAATTTCAGACAGGTGCTGCTGAGGGAGACCTTATCGGCCACGTGACAGCAGGCACACCGTGGCAGGGGTGGGACCCAGTGACTGTCCCTCTGTGTAGACGTGCGCCTGGAGCCTTGTTTCCTGCATCGGGAGGAGGACGAGTGTGGGGCTGCCCTGCCCGGCAAGTACCGGATGGACGTCTGCTGCTGCTCCGTGGGGGCCGCCTGGGGGGATGAGTGTGAAGCATGCCCAGAGCCGGAGTCCCCGGCATTTGCCAGCCTATGTCCCCGGGGACTAGGCTTCGCCAGCCGGGACTTCCTGTCAGGCCGGCCCTTCTATAAAGGTGTGTTCGGGCGCGGGGAGCCTGGAGGATGGGGAGAGGGCACAGCACAGGCAAAGGCCCTGTGGTGGGAAGTGTGTTTGGGAGAGAGCAACGCGTCTGCAGTCAGAGGTGTGAAATCTCAGGGGCAGACCCAGGGACCCTGGAGGGGTTTGACTGACATTTCGTGCTCCCGCACCGCAGACGTGAACGAGTGCAAGGCGTTCCCCGGCCTCTGCATGCACGGCACCTGCCGCAACACCGTGGGCAGCTTCCGCTGCTCCTGTGCCGGGGGCTTCGCCCTGGATGCTCGGGGAAGGAACTGTACAGGTATGTGCCTACCCCGGGGGCGCCTGCAGGAGTGGGGGCTTCAGATCACACATGGGGTCCAGACCCACTCTTGGTCCTGCTGCCTTCTCTGGCCCTAGGGGATTCCGACTGTGAAAGGAGGGGCTGACAAAGGTGACCTCCGGGGTGGGGGGAGTTCCCTGCCCTTCTCTGATGTGCAGCCGCCACACCTCCGTCCCCACCCCTGGCTCAGCTTGGCAGCTCGGGGCTCCCGTGTAGCCTCCGTGTCTACAGACGCGGAGGCCGGCCTTGCCCCTCTCTCCCCAGACATCGACGAGTGCCACATCTCCCCTGACCTCTGTGGCCGGGGCACCTGTGTGAACACCCCGGGCAGCTTCGAGTGTGAGTGTTTCCATGGCTACGAGAGCGGCTTCATGCTGATGAAGAGCTGCATGGGTAGGTGGCCGCAGGGCCATTGCGTGGGTGGCCCCGGGCAGGGTGATGCCTGTAGGGTCTCGGGGCTGAGGGGAGGGATGGTGAGGGCATTGTTGTGATGGGCGAGGTGGGAGGGGCAGGTGTGGGGAGAAGCTGAGACCCAGCAAATCTGGGCGCCAGGTGGTGGCATCCCCAAAGGCAGCTGGATGTCGGGTCTGTCATGCAGAGTTGAGTCCTAGGGACCCAGATTTGGGTGAGTTCTCCCAGAGCAGGTGTAGCGTGAGAAGAGGAGGAGGGTCCTGGAGAGAGGAGCCCCCCCTTCCTTCCTTCCTTCCTTCCTTCCTTCCTTCCTTCCCTCCCTCCCTCCCTCCCTCCCTCCCTCCTTTCTTCCCTCCCTCCCTCCCTCCTTCCCTCCCTCCTTCCCTCCCTCCTTCCCTCCCTCCTTCCTTCCTCCCTCCCTCCCTGCTGCCTTCCTGCCTGCCTTCCGCTTTTTTCTTCATTCAGTGAACGTTTCATGCACCTCTACTGAGGGGAGCCACAAGGAGCTCAGTAGCAGACAGCCAGGCTCTCGGAGCTCATGACCTGATGGGGAGACAGATGTTGATAAAATTAATCCCTGGAGAAATGCAAAATGGCCACTGTGAGAAGCACTTGAGAGGGCCACGCAGTAGGGTACAGTGTGGTCCCCAGGGACATGTCCTGTTCTGTGGGCCTTGAGGTTGTGGCTGAGAGTGGGAGTAAATGTGGTGAAGAGGGGCTGCAAGAGCAGCCTGAAGGGAGAACGGCAGGTGCAAAGGCCCTGGGGTGGGCCTGAGGG